GCTGACTCCGGAGTCCGGGGGCGAGTGATATAAAACCGCACGAAATTGTTGCTCCCCTGGCGGAAATAGTGTTCGCCCCGCATCCGGAATTTGGGACGTTTTGGAACGTTCATTATCCAGTAGCAGCCTCGCTTAAACGCGAGCACGTATTCCGCGCGATAAATATATTGCGATATATGCGAAAGAGAAGAAATGTTGTGAGCGCTCGTTGCGCTTCGTAATAGTAACATTCTCTAACGCTTTCATTTCTCGTTTCATAATCTATTACATTTAATGCGTGGACTCATGTATATTTGAAAATATACGTTCGTAATAAATTGTTAAATGTTATTCACGGCATCGAAAGTTCTTCGTTTGATAAACAGCTGTGATAAACGTTTTCATTAAATAATAACAGACCATTGTTATATAACGTTAGGATAAATTGTATTTACAGAGAAAAAGATTCTGAATACACAAGTTATTTCATGAAACTTTAAAACGCCTGGAAAGGGTCTGTTTCTTCGTAGTTTTCGATTTTGCCCATTTTGGTTCTCTTATTTTCAGTGTTATTCTGTCTCTGGACACATACAGCTGGTACATACGAGCGAATTTATGATAGAGGAATATACAAACCGTGATTGAATTTAGCTTCACTAAAAATTGCATCGCCATGGAATAATAATGGACAGGAAGATATGTAAAATAATAATCGAAGGTACCGGCGAACTAACGATTGTTACGAAAATCATTCGTTCACCATTACTCGCGTTTTCACATCCCTCTCTCCGTTGCTTCCAACAGAACGGTATTTGGTATTGGAAATTGGGTTGATGATTCCAATCCATATGCAACATCTTTCCGCCTTTATAATAACCGTATTCGAATGACGAAGGTATTTGCATGTACAATCACAGCCACGATTTTCATCGCGTTTAACCCTTTTACCGTTGGACCCTCCACGAAGCAATTTTCATGCAAATCCGACTATATTTTTGCATTTTTGTCTGCCATATTGGATCCATCATCTCGTATTTCTTCGAACAAACGCAACAAAATACTGAAAGAGCATAATTTATAGATGTGTTACGGAACTTAAACGTGGAGGGTAACGATAAAAGAGGTAGCATTAAATTGGTGTTAAGAACGAGAGAGAACGCACCTCGTGCACCTCGTGCACTTCGTGCCAACGGGTAGGGATTACCGTAAATTTCGCGTACAGTTGGCAATAACCAACTGAAATCCAACGGATTATCCTCTTTGTAGAAATAAATGCTCAGAGTATGAGTAAAGTTGAAAGATACTCTTACTTTAAACCCTTTGAGCGCGCGCAAAGGTCCAGTTCGTACGTGCGCGATACGTGCCCACCAGCAATATCAAAGCCGGTTGATCTCTTAAATAATGTGTTAGAATCATTCTCGTAATTACATCAAGTTTATCTACGAGTTTTCTCATTTTACAGTAGAATCGATTTACGACAGTAGTTTATACGTTTACATCTTACCGAGGATTAGCTAATGAACGCTAATGAATGCAATTCTCGTCAACTACATTACACGGATTTCATCGAAAGGAAATCTGGCGAATCCTCTAAACGATACCATTCACCATCACCATTCCACCGAAACAAATATCCTTGTGACGAGGACGCTTAATACGACTCGTGAAACCCAATTCTGACCGAGTTTAATTAGCCCTGACCTCAACCGTCCATCGGTCGAACGAAAACAAACGGAGAGAACGATCGAGAATACGAGACCTAACACGAGTTCGAGCACTATCGCGCACAATGCCTCAGCCCCGCTAACAGACCTCTATGGGAAAGTTATATGTTAAGATCTGGACCGCAAACCGCGATATCTCACGTACAGATGGAATTGCTCCGAGGTGAGGAACCGAGGAGAAGAGCGAGAGAGGAGAGGAGCGAGGTTGAATTTTCGTGCACGCTAATGCAAGATCGCGGGTCCGCTTCGCGTTTACTCGCTCGATAACGTTACATGCCGTTTAGCGTTTCTAACACCGTCGACGCGCGCCGAAACGCGGATGTTAATTATTTTGGCGGTTTCCCTCTCAGAGTTTCCTAATCACTTACGGAGCTCGATTAAGCATTGTGCTTAACAGGTGACCCGACCGCAGGACGCGTTCCATCGCGGCACGTTAGGGAAGTTATGCATCCGGCGAGCTCGTCGAGAGTTACCGCTTAAAGTTACCAACTAAAGCATTGTTCAATGAAACATTTCATTGCACGGATATTACATGTGCAGTTGACAACCGCAAGTAGGCCGCGAGTACGAAGCCTTAATCAGATTAAATTTTAAATACCATTCATTAAATGTCTATTAGATAAATTCCGCTTCTTGAAACTAACGTTGAAATGATTGATTTTTTTAAATCTTGCATATAATGTCAAATATTTTTTTATTATATAAATTCTACTGTTTAAATTTAGGTATATATATATATATATATATATATACGTAGTTTTCGGTCTTTTCTCAATTTCTTTAATATCTTCAATTTAATAAAATTCTTAATACGCTTATGGAAACTACGACTCGCTCTTATTCCATAATACTTTTGAGATTTCCACGGATATTTTCTTCAAAGGAGTTACGCGGTTATCTCCGTGTCTTTATACATCGTTAAATTCCGACATTTTGTGAACATTGCAGTTCACTTCATCAGGGTGAGAAGCAACCTGATACTTCTCGCTCTAATGAAGTGAAATGCAACATTCACGAAACCTTAGCATTTAACGATGTATCAAGATACGGAGATAAACCGCGTAACTTTCTTATTCTTCTTCTTGTTAGCTTAAGTTACCCTTTGTTCCTACCTTTCTTCAATTATTCATTATCATTTACAAAAGTACGCAAATGAATTTGTGTGCGTGCGTGCGTGAATGCCTACGTTTGCGTGCATGTATTGCGTGTAAAGTGTAAAGTATAGGTATATGGGCGTCCGCAATGCAATGAGCTCGGATCCATGGATTTGCTAAGCCCAAATGACTACGCGGATCAGTCATCCCTGCGGGATCCTAGCTCTCGGCTATGGCACGACCCCGAAATAGGTCACTAGTGGCAGCGCAGTTGTACAGTTGCGTCATCACCAAATTGCTTTGCACCCAATATTTTTATACAACGACCTGCCGTTTCATCACCGACATGCAGGCCGGCCGCGCCACGCGGATTGATATATCGTGCTCGCCGGCATGAGCACCAAGAGCCGCCGCGGTTCGAAATTTTCCTGGCAGAGTTTGAAAAATACGACAGATCCGCGACGGTGCGGCGGCCGCGGTCGCTCGTTTACGTTTGTCGCGATGTTGATCGCCGATGGTGTGTCGACGTGTCCAATCCGCGAGCGACGCGACGCCCGTCGCGAACAGAGAAACGAGCGTCGCGTGACGCGGTGCATCAACTGTAATTTAGTGGGCCGTATTATGCAGAAGTCACGGGTGCTAATGGCCGCCGCAGTTCTGTGTGCGGTTAATTAAATTTTATTACAAATAATATTACGTGATATTACACAGAGCGACACAGAGCGTACATTTCGGCTTCATGCGGAGGTTTTGCGAGAAATTCGCACCCCGCGGCTCCGAGTGAAATATTAAATCGAGCTCGCGAATTTCTCTCGTATGATTCTATCTCAGAGTGCGAACGACTAACCCATGTAATTAATTCATTGCTCGGCCGTAACGCTTTACGTGCCTCTGAATGTACATACATACATATAGTATATTCCATTAAGATTTAAAATGTTATATGAGAAGTAAAACGTCATGGAGTAATACGTCCATCATTTCTGTGAACTTTTTGACACGTTATATGTCCTTATTGCATATATCATCGTATGATTATGAATGTATGATGTTAATAACGTAATAACAAAATTGCAAACCTTTTTACATCAAAATATGTTAGTACATTTCAGTTTAATTCCAGTATAATTTACGTAAAATATTTTCGATTTTGCGATTAAAAATTTATTAGATTTTTATGATTTTTGCTTAAAATGATAATAAATTAAGCTATCGATAAATATAAATAAAAGGACTACGAAAAATTGAGATAAAATTGATAAACGTACTCATCGTATTTTATTCTTTATGCTGCTACTAATATTTCACTAATCATTCAGTTTTACACTTAACTATTTACTAATATTATAGATACATAGTTCTATCAATTTGCTACAGTTACAATAATTTGCAAATAAACTTGTTGTCGTTTTTTGTTTTAATTCGTCTTTTAATTTTATTGTAATTTCATTTTACTATTTTTTTATCATCACTTTTCTAAACTTCCAAATATTTTCATTAAATATCATTTTATTGACAAGAAGCAGTTTTTTATAATAACACTATTTTATTAACAAAAAAATATAAATATATCTTTTAAAAAAAAGGTTCCCCTCTTCTTAGACAACTATTTTTAATATAACACATTATTAATTATTTCTTAGCCGTTCTAGATAATTATAGATATGAAAAATATTAATGCTTTATGTGACCGCGTTTGTGATTTTTAACGTCTTTCTAAGAAAAATGTATTAAATTTTAATAAGTAATTGTTTATATATAGCACTAATACAATTATTTATAGAAAAAATTTGCTATCTAATTTAAAAAACGTAGTAATTAAATTAAATAAGTGTTCTTGTACCAAATAAACATATATTTAGAGTAAGTAAATATTCAATTGGCATTATTTAAACAAATATTTATTAAAATTTAGTACATTTTTCTCTCAAGATTTTTCTATAGGACTTTACACTTTTCAAAGCATCTATATAAAAAAAAGAAACACGAGAAACGATTACGTTATCGTCGCGTTCAACAGACAATAATTAATCCAATAATTGAACTAGAAACAGAAAGCTCCTTGCCAAGTCAACGTCATTACAATAATTCGTCTAGCTATTTCAAAGCAATGGATGTATGAAACGTTATATTTAACCGTACTATTCGCAGTCTCATTACTTCATCTTATTGTTAGGTTAGGTTAATGGAAAAAGGCACTCACCGATACAACGTCTTGCCAAGACGAAGCTTCTAGAAATCTAGACTGCGCTCGTCTCAACTTTCGTCTTAAGTTCACCGCATACTTACGAGGCAACAACTCGCGAAAACGCGATCGAGAACGAACTAAACTGTCATAATACGACAATCGCGATACTTTATTCCACTCCCGCTCGAAATAAAACGCTCGATGTATATTATGGCTTCCGCAGTTCCGCTACTTGAATTTAGCAATTCGCCGAGGAACTTGAACGTCGACAACTTCACACCAATGCCGCGCGGGTACAACGCGAGTCGAGCTGGCAGCTAATCGAAGCTCGAACGAGTTGTTCGAAATATATATACTCGAGACACATGATCGTGATATAATTTGCGAGCTTAAAGTCTGTGAAAATTGCAGGTAATTAAACGACACAGGTTTCCATTATTGAATTGTACCAAATTATTTCATTTGAGGAGTAAGATACAGAATGAGTTTAAATTATAGGTGCGTTCGAAGAGATGCTATTAGCGCTATTTGCGTCATTCTATTTCCAACATTCGTTAGACAAGCAAAACAAGAATAGAACTTAAGGCTCCTAATTAGTCGCGGTGGCATTGTTAGAATTGTGACGTCAGAAGCGAGAAATACACATTAATTTATGACGCATGGCATTTGTAAGCAAAGACAATTTGAATGAAACGAAATGACGAGATCGTTTTAAAATACTTGTAAAAATCGATGAAAATTGTCCTTTCTTCCCTTGATAGCCAGTAAATGATTGTAAAAGGCACGTAAAGTGAGCCTATATTCGGGCAGAAATACACGGTCTGATAACTGTTGAAACGTAAGTAAAATATACGCTTTTACATATAAAATTCCAAGATAACTTTAGTTTTCATCGATAATTACGACTTTGATAAGTACGAGACAAGTCACATTTTCACAAATAATAACGAAATGGCATGCAACATAAATTTCGTCACTTTTCCATGTTTATAAGTTCAGCCATTTAGGCGAAGCGATGTAACGCACACACATACATACACATACACATGTCTGATTCTGTGTCGCTGAGTAGTCAGGAGCCTTAATACAAATAGCTCTAAAAGCATCTCCTCGAACGCATCTATAGACGTAATAGACTGCATATTCTGTAATCTTAGTATCTATGTTCTATTAGAAAGAAATAAGCTTACCAGCAGTTTTCTTTAACTCAATATGTGAATGAGAGAGCGAGAGAGAGGAAGAGAAAGAGAAAGAACGATACGATTCAAGCTAATTCTAAACCGATAATGACATATAAACTTCATAAGAATAAGCAGTCTATTCTTATTACACGTATGTTCTTTCAAAAACAATTGTTGTCCTGTAAGTAAAATATTTCAATTCTTGCTACCTACAAATAAATCCCACGAGATATTCGCTTTGCAACGAAGGATCAAAATCACGATATATTCACGAGTCGTATAAATAATCGATAATCACTCAACTGTGTAGATGAATAATTCAATGGTTAATATCAATAAAATTATTTTGCGCTACTCGCATAGCATTTTTATCTTATATTGCATCGTTTTGAGATATAATAATTGTATATACATATATCGCTCGCTCGGATACCTATATCTATTTAATTGTCAGGACGTGAATGATTGCGCCCCGATTTTCTTGTAAAAATGACGTATATCATTTAATGAAAACAATGCCGAACCTTGCATACCAATTGTCTCGCTACCATTTATATTTAATGTATTATATTTAACATACAACGTATTATAGAGAATTAATTTATGTCGAATATTTTGTTCTTTACATTTCGATAAACGAATTAATATATTTTGCTTTGTTTTATTTGTAAATTCATTAGCGTTCGCCAAAAACAGTTAAATTCAGTTAAGAGTCTTAGAATGGAAATATTATTACTGATTTCCTAATACGACTCCATTAATATGTGTATATAAACAGGTAATAAATTTTATAATAAACTAATAACATATTTTACATACAAATTGTAATTTTAATACTTCCTTTTAATGAAAATTTGAATTAATTAATTACGCGATTTAAAAGATATAATAAAATTCAATGAGTACTTAAAATAATAAATAATTATAATTTAAAATTAGATCAAGAGTATATATATAAATAATGCTAATATGCAAATTTTGCAAATACGTTATTACAGTTTTATTACACGTTTAAACAGCGTGCCGATTCGGTTTGTCAAATTTGAAGTGCAATCGCAAACAGAACTATTAATATCTTTAAAATAATAAAATTTATATTTTTATTGATAAAAAGATAAAAGATATCAAAATATCGACTTTTTTTGCTAATGAAATTTGAGAAAAAATATATTAGGTGTTGGAATTAATTCGTAGCGTTTTTAATGAAAGAATGTTATTTATTTCACATGAGCATTAAAAAATACATTAATGAAAGTACTTCCCATCACTTGTAAAACGCTACGAATTAATTCCAACACCTAATAATACTTTTTTTTTTAATTTATGAATAATTATTTAACTTTCATTAATTTTATTAAATAATTATTTATTTTCATTTTTCAATAATAAAACAAAGATAAATTTCGTCTTTTAAATTTAATATTCAAAAAAGTAAAATGATTAACTTCAACAACTATAAAAACAAAGGATTAAATAATGTGATGTATTTATATTTAAAATTGACTATTTTAGTATCAGCTAACACACCACGAATTACATGCACGTGAAAAATAAGAAATCTAAATTTTCCTAAATAAATAAAAAATATGCTTGAATTATAAGATATCAATAGCAAAAAATATATTGGTGTTGTATGTGTTCTTTATTTTATTATTACTTTTTTAAAATTCCTAATATTTTTGTTAAATATTAGGATTTATTGATCATTAGCATTCTTTATATTGTATAATACAATTTTTTATAAAAAAAATATAAATAATATTTTTTTTATTTGTCATGTATTTTTAAAAAATTCTTAATATTTCTTTGTTAATCAATTATTTCCACCAGAATACAATGTTCAATAAAATAAAATTAATAATTATTTATTTGTTGCTTTATAGTTTCAAAATATAAAAACAACTCATTTCTCATATTTTATAATTCAACATTTTTCTTATTTGTACACACAGACGTATATAAATATCATTAAAAAACGGATATATTCAATGTAATTATCTACAAAATGCAAAACATGTAGAAGATCAGTTTTTGTCGCATGTCAATAAATCACTATTTTTTGTGGAGTTATAGTATTTTTGAAATTTCGGCACGCACGCTATAGTGAAAAAATGCCGCGTGTTATTTTTTGCATATAATGACAGATGTACTAAAAAACAGGTGTGAAAACGCATGTAGTACAAACGCTTTGAAACATAATACGTTTCCCTTGCCGTCAAATGCACGTGCACGCACGTTGATATTCCGTAATTAGATCGAAATAATAAATCAATATAACGTCAATATCTCTACATAAAAAAAAAATCGAAGAGGGATGATCTTTGTATCATTTAAAAGCTAAAATTTTAGCGCTTCAAATGAATACAAGATTGTTTATCTTGTATAATTAGTTTACGAGATATTGTCGATTAAAAAAGAAAATAAAACTAATTTCACGCTAAGAGAATCGATTTTCATTTTTAAAGTAAAAATTATTGTATATTTAAATTGTAATATTTCCGTCCAGGATAGGCAATAAAGATTTAAAACAAATTGCATTGGCAAGCGTATATTCTCATAACGTATATTTTCATAACGATATTAAAATCAAATACCGTTTTATTCTTTCATTATATAAAAAATAAAATATTAAAATCGCGCTTGTGTAACACATTTTTATCGCAAACTTTGTTTTAATAATTACTGTGGATTAATCTAACAATAAGTGAATATACCGTTTCTTGCCAAATAAATTTATGAAAAAATATAACAAAAATAGGAAAATATGTCAAAGTTAATTTTTTTCTCATCACATAAGTGTCAAAAAACATGAGTGTGAATGATAGATTATTGTTAAGATTATTATGAGCGCAATAATTTTTTATCTCTACGTGGATATGTAATAATTATATAGTTATAAAGAAGTTTATATGTAATAATTAGATAAATAAAAAAATCGTTTTCCAATTTCTAAAATTAAAACTTAAAATTAAATAACGTTTGTGTATCATATCTTTCATTATAAAATTCATTTTTTTTTTATTCGATATTTTTCATCTTTATATCATTTTTCTCTATTTAAATATTCAATTGCAAAATATAAGATAAAATATATTTTTTTACGTTTATGTGATCAATGTAATTTAAATTTATTAAATAATATTGCATAATTTATCTGTTCTAATTCTTATTTAAATCGATTGAATAAATAATTTAAATAAATAAGAATAAATGATTATATCATAAGCAGTAAAAAATAATTGCACATAAATATTAAATTACTTGCTTCGTCGTCATTCGATGTTTCCTGTACTGCTTCTCTTCTTCGTCGTCGTCCTTCTTCTCCTTCTCTTCTTGATTTTTTTGTTATAGCTAACACAGCACTTGCAAAAACACGATTAATTACGATCGCGAACTAATTAATAAAGTACGACGATTGCACAGCATTTAATTTGCATGGCGCTATCAATATTAATCGTACACAACTCGCGATCTTCTGAAATACACGAAATCATGACTTTTTTGTGTTACATGAAGTATGTGATCCAGCGATTCGTATATTATATCACAATCCAGAGACAATAAATAATTTTGTATGCATGATAGTAGTTTTAATAAAATCACGTGAGAAAGAAGAAATACATTTATTTTTTTTTTCTCTTTTTTATTCTATTCTGTCTTTTTTTTATTTCTCTCTCTTTTTCTCTTTCAAGAATTGTTAAAAGTTAAAACATGATGAGTCAATCAAATGTGACTTTCTTCAGATCCAGACTCATATTAGAGGATTTCTAGTATAAATAATAGCGTCATACAATAACAAATATTAAGACCACGTTGTTGGTTCAAATGAAACTCGTCAGCATTGAACACATTTTGCTACTTACATTTTCATATTAATTTTAATAAGATGGACTATCATCGTGTTTCTGCTACCTAAATTTAAGAAGTGCTGATAGTATTTATATATTAATTCAACAATTTTTGAATTTATATCAAATTAGTTAAAAGAAAAAAGTAGAAAAATTTTCTCTATATTTGATATTATATATACGTAATAATTCAGAATGCCTCACTGCAAACATACTATGCGGAAAGAATTATTTTGTTGAAGAATTATATTTAAAAATTTAGATATAGATACAGATCTGAAAATAATTTTGTTGGATCAAAATAACTAAGTAGAAATCTCAACCATAATAAGCAATGCTGCAAAAAGTTTTGACATTCTAGCAATCAGTCTGAGGGTCTTACATAATTATTTTGGTAATCCAACGAAATCATTTTTAAATCTGCTTTAAATTTAGTTTTTATAAATACTTCAGTAAAACTATCTTTTCCATATATCACAGTGTATCATATAAAGTCGAAGTCTGAGTATCATATAAGTCTGAGTATCGAAAATTTTATTATAATATAAAAGAAATTGAGATTACAATTATTTTTGACAATCATTATAGCTCAGAAATTATATGATCTCAACATCTTTGCACTAATATAAGTTCTTGGACTTTAATTAATCTTTGTGAAATATGCTATTGTGAATATAATTGCGAGATTTTACGTTTAAATTGCAGCTAATTTCAAATAACCGTTAATATCGAAATTTAACTTTACTGATGTATTGTAGATAAATAAAAAAATCTATAAATAAAAAAAATCCATAAATAAAAAAAATTATAAATGGAGGAGAAACAAAGAGAGAGAGAGAGAGAGAGAGAGAGAGAGAGAAAATGTGATTTCAGAATAGTTAATAAAATAATTTACATCTATGAATTTCCTTTAAATACGGTCAATTTGTGATATCATGTATGCTTTACTGTAAGATGTATGTATATAGTATATGTCTACGTATAATTTAATGGATCAAGGTCTAGGTAGTTAAAGTAGATATGTCATTAGTTACACACAGTAAGACTTGCATTTGAAGATAGCACTGGCCATCAACATTAGAATGCTACATACCCTGCAAATTTGAATTTTACAAAAGTTTTTTCTTTCTTTCCTTTGCCACATATCGTATCTTTCCAGCGTATTTTAAACCCTCATAAAGTTCTTCATAAATTCATAATATTCTTCGAAAAACAGAAGGAACAGGAGAAGCAGAAGCTTCCTTTGTAGATTAATTATTTTGCAAAATACAAGTTATAAGAAACATTGCGAAGAATTTCGATACTTGGGGAAAATGTCGAGGCCGCTTATTACCTGCATTTGCGCGCTTACCGATGCTGAAATTATCCCCCTGGTTAGAGAACATCGCCGGTGGTGCAAAACGACGCCGGTGGGTATGATTTACGTTGGATAGCAGGACCATTCTTTCGGGAGGATAATCCGGCGGGTTCGTCCGGCGGTTCATTCATAATGCACAGCCATTTATAATGCACGTAGGAACGATGCATGCAGGTGTAATTACAACTCCGTACTCTGCACCGCGCGTCCCGCGCAACGTCCTACCTATCCTATCCCACCCTCATTTGAGTAAACCGACGCTCTGTCCTAGTCGTCTGGCCACGTTGCGAGGTCATCTTTTCTACTCCTTCTCAGCCATTCACCAGATAGTCCTCCTAACTGCGACTCCGTGCAGCTCGCACTAACGAGCGTCCACTTGATTCGCTTTAATCGATTAATAGATTACAACAATAGTTGAATTTTAATGGATTCTCCGATGACACATTACAAAGCTCACGTTTCATATCATTTTCTTTTGTTTCGGTTAAAAAATTATCCTTGTAAAGGTAATAAAATGCCGTTGCGAATAATAAATTCAAACGTAAAGTGGAGTGTCATTTGAATAATATCGATCTCCTTTTGTTTATTTTAAATGTATAGTTATAATTTATGAATATAAAATCTATTTCTTTTTATTGCGATTGTATACAATTTTTTTACGTCTTTGTATTGTTTTCCTACATTTAAAACGTAAATCTTTAAAATGTATGATTTCAAATTTGAGGTGAGATTTAAAATTTATCTTATCTTTATATTATTACCATCTATACGATTAAGCGCGGTTATAATCTATATAATTTATTAAACGTTACCAAATGATGTCAAATTGTACAAGAATTCTTCGATCTCCATTAAGTGCTCGCTTTATTGATTGTGAGCTAAAGAGGGACCATAAACTCGGCGTATCCTATCAAGAAAAACGTTTTAGTTTGTCGACTTCCGGCTCTTTCAAATGCTTTTCTATCTACTCGTAGGGTAAGACGCACAAGCTCCGTGGAAGCGACGAGAATGGCAAAGACGACGAAGGCGACGGGCGAGGAACGACGGAAAATCCAAATTGCCGCACAAAGCTCTCGCGCAATCAGGTTCCTGGTAATCCTCGCGCCTTCAAGTACTTCGGCACGATCGCGAAAGCCAATTATGTGGCTGACGTACGTACAGGTGCGGCTTTAAAGCGGCTAAGCAACGGGGCGAATACGAGGGCATGGAAAGTGCATTCCGGCGGAGCGCGGAATTACTCGATTAGAGCTAATTCGAATTATGCTACAGCTCGTTATCAAAATCGCTAATTGTTAATTGGTACGCGCCAGCATCGCACGTGGATATACCGTCGGTGCGTAGCGAAACGAGATTCGTTGCGTTGACGTAATATATCCCGCTTTATAGACAAAAATTGCAACAACCTCGAGCGTAAGTTGAAGAGTCGCGAAATTGTTCTAAAGTTCATTGTTCACGTTGAACAACAATCGAAAACTGTTTCTGAAGTGTTTATCTCATTTCGCCGATCACTCCTTCGCTATCTTTCAAATATCTCGCAATATTTTCTCCATCGGACTGCACTCACGATTACCGTCGAAAACGCAATGGCTGCATCTCACGGGAAAGCCAATTCTCATCCTTCTTTCTTTGTTATTTTGGCGTGAAGAAACGGCAAGACGCATGTCCTCGGTGGGATACATCCTCGTTTCTCAATCTTCCGTCTTCTAGTGCGTTTCCGCGGTCGACTCTCGCCGCTGATAAATTGCGAGCGGCGAGAGTGTGGAAATTGCATACGCCATTGCAACGCACGTCCCGGGTGTGCAGTAATCGTCTTGGACGTATGCACGACGCTTGGTACGTAAAGGAAAACGGAAAGAATAAGAGAGCAGGCAAAGGAGAAAGTACGCTACAGTACGGATGTCCAGACAGTGAATCCTCTCAGGATGGGTCTCGTTAGTCCTGCGTGACAGACTTACGGCACCCAAGACTCGTTCCGCCTTGGCTACTCATCACGGCTTCGGAACGAAATGTACTGGAGAGACAAGAGGATGTTGGGTTTCTTCCTTCCAAATTACGCCCGTAGGCTTCTTGCCAAATGGAACTGGTCCTCGAAAACACGCAGTGGCAGTTGCATATACATATCACAAATGAAAACATAAATCATTAAGTCGTTATAATTAAATCATTAAATTATTGTAATTGCTATTATTGTAATTATTGTAATTATTATTATAATAGTCAATTAATCTGAAGAACTATACAAAGTAAATGGAGATCTCATACACACATATCTTGTATTACTTTTGATTCCTTTTAACCTTTCGATGCTGATGCCAAATTCTATTAACTGATTTTGACGATAAGTCTGCGAGACTCATTTAATTTATATTGACTAAAAGGCACAAATTAATTTTAAGAAACCAAAATGACGTATAAATATAATTCGTATAGAAAAGAATAAATATTAAATTTATTTTAATAACAATGGATGCATTTAGCGAACACAACTATTGAGTGAGCGTTCAGTAATTATTGCCTGATTGAAGTAGATCCACAATAAATCTAGAAAAATATATCAATAGCAATAAACGCTCATTCGACCGTTGTGTTCGCTGAATGCACCTAATAATTTGCAGATATGAAGAATTGATTGAGTGGATTCAACAGACCCGGCATCAGTTCTGGAAGGTTAAATTTAATTATACGTTGTTGCCAAAGACGAGTATTTGTCTGCAAATTATTTCTCTACAAATTATTTCTCTGCAAATATTCAACGCATATATTTGGAATTTGAAGTTACTGAAACGTAATTTCGTGCTTTACATTCGAAAGTTTCTTTCCATATTTATGTGCTGAAAATTTATATTTGCCTAGTTCACGAGATGATCGTTTCGAAAAAATAATCTAACTATTGGCACTAATGTGAATATCATCTTCAGTCCATCGGTGCTGATTATTCGGCTGCGCAGAAAATACATCCTCGATGATTTTCATTTTTTAAACATTCGCACATTTCTTCAATGAATTTTCGAAAAAGAGAGGGAGAGAGAGAATAGTATACAAGATGGCGGCGCACACGCATCCAGGGATAACGAGAGAATCCGGGAACAAATTCGAGCGCGAGGAGGAGCTGGCTTGCCGTCAGAAGTTTGATTTATATGTTAATCGTCAGACAGCAGTCGCTGACGGTGTCGCTAGGCACTGCTTGCTGCACCACTCTCTTTACCTCTCATATTATAACAATTCTCAAAATATCGCGTATAAGTAGACATCGATTATATCCGGAGATAGTATTGATAGATTGGATAGGAAATTTGAGTTTTAACCATCAATCAGTTTCCAGAGAGGCTGTCAGGAGGATTGACACTCAAAAAAGGCTTTTATATATATATATATATATATATATATATATACCACATAAGTAATAATTTATTAAAAAAAGAGGAAACATAATCAAGATAAAGAGATAGAGAAAGATTTGAGAATTAATTTTTTTTAAAGTTACATTTTGTAAAATAAAAAAGAATATGTATTCTTAATATGTTTTATTAATATGTTTTCAAAAAAAATGTGTATTAGGAATACATATTCTTTTTTATTTTATACAATGTGTAACTTTAAAAAAAATTAATTCTCAAATCTTTCGAATAAAATTCCATGGAAATTTTCAATAATTAAAGTATTTAAAGTTTAAATTTCATTAGTTTTCGTATATATTTGCTTCTAAAGACAAAATTGATGATAATATTTCATTATTATATCATATTATTCGAATATTAAAATTTGTATTATTTTATTATACAATCGTCTATAAATAAGCGATTAATTAACAAACGATAGAGAGAGAGAGAGAGAGAGAGAGAGATCAAAATTTCTACCGAATCAATGATAGATAAGTATGAAAATGATATGTTCCTGGCTCAGTGAACCTATGGAATTATTAGAATTTCATAACCGATATATTGAAAATCGCTACAGTCCATATTCGAATTCCAAATGCTTAATTGAAATAGATATGAAAGATACATATAGAAGAGAAGCTTTAATTGAAATCGCGAATTTTCAATTAATTAGTCGTCAATCAATAATGTGTTAAAATTTCAGCAACGAGAAATATCAAACTAAACCAATCTTTTTGAATGGAATTTTCTTAGCTGGTTTTTTATCGAAGCAATATTTATATAAACGTTAACGATAAAATTTAGCATAAAAGATGTATACATATATAAATTTATATTCATAAAATTTATATATGTATATATATATATATATATATATATATATAAAATAATAAAAAACGTTAAATTAAAAAATAAATTAAAACTCGTTATACAGCATAATTATATTGTTCTAAAAAAACATATAGATGTATATGATATTTTACTGATGAATAAAACAAATGTGTTATCAAAGTAAGTACTTTTTATCTACTGGCTTTAATTATGGTCTACATTTCGCTTTAGCAAGTTATAAAACTTCACTCAACTGTATTGCACGATTTTTGCAAGATATTTTTATCAACTCGATCAAGCATTTGCACAAACATTTCTATACTTAATTAACGCGTATATTTTAATGCTGTCCGGATTATGTCACTCGGATTTCTAAAAATTATTTACCATGTACAAAATAAAATAAAACGGTACAAATGAAATAAAAAGTATAATAAAAAAATATAAAAGCATGTGCATACATATATGTATATAGGGAATGTGTAGTAAAAATCGTATTTTCTTTCATAAACTGGTAGAATTAAATTAAATAAAAAAGATCTCTACATCTTGCAATTTCCTCAATAATTAATAAAAAATTAATTAATAAATATCTGCAAACCAAGATGAAATTTGCGTAGCAGAATTTAGCAACGAATATAAGCACTCAGCATTCAGAGAGGCGCGCTTCTAAGAACTGCAAATAATGCATAACGTTGAGCTGTCTTTTCCCGTTGAATCATACGGATTCATATATATAGGGTGTCTGATAATAATAACAACCAAAAAAGTTTTCAAAAATTTTGTTATCAACAATTACAAGAAATTAATTAATCTGCACAGAATCATAAAAGATCTTTCTATTCAATTTAATCAATTCTATCTATCACAAGAAATGATACAGTTTTATATTTCTGTTTATTTATACATATATATATATATATACACATATAGAGCATATGTATACACACAAAAATATCTTATCGCCTGAATTATTACTATAGCGAATATATATGAGTTTTTCTTATATTATAATAATATAGCGATTTTATGAAGAGAATATTTCATTATCTATGTTCCTGCATGACGTTCTTTAACATTTATGTTGTTTCACGCAATGCTCGAATAAAATGTGTTTTGCGTCGACATAAGATAAGAAGTTTTCGTCGGATGTGAGAAACCTGATTGCAATATAAAAGCCAATGATTATATGTATAACTTATTAGTACACCTGTATGTTAGTAAGATGTTACGAAGTTTTATTTCTTACTTCCTATTTGCCAGAAGTATCGATGAGTAAAAAAAAATATTGATATTACCGATTTTGAATTATTTATACGCACTGTTTTATTTACGCACCAGAACTCTCATTAGCCCTTTTGTTTTGTATTTTATTATACATTTTCGAAAGTCACTTTCACATTATTTTTTTTTAAATTCTAATCTTACAATATATGTATATTATTATAAAATAAATTTACAAATCATATGTCGCTTCTTTACTTTAAAAAAGTTATATAACTTAAAAAACGTAACTTTTAAGTTATTATTATGAAAGAGTTAGATGAACATTATTCTATAGAACTATAAATCAAAAGTAAACTAAAAGGCGAACTAACTTCATAAAAAAATTTTGCCAAAATCGTCACGTCTAAAAAAAACAAATTTAAAAAAAAATTATCAAAATTGTTACAATTCAAAAAGAATGATTTTTTTAATGATAAAACGAAAATGACAAAAATGAGTTTGTTTATGTTAAAAATATGTTCTTTTTGTCGAATGGTTTCAGGAGGACGTATTTTGATTACATTTTTTTGTCTAGGTGAATGCGCTAAAAAAATAGAAGATCACTCACATATAAAAAAGTGGAGGTGATCATATCTTTTTTAGATTCAGAAAAAATGTGACAAAATGCATTCAATACGTCGAAACTGTTCCACTGTTATCTAAAACATTTTTTTATATTATCAATCATTTCAAAGAAAATTGATTTATATTAATTAATAAATAGGATTACCTATATATTATATATTATAAATTGTAAATTTACATATTAAATGTTATATTTATAGAAGATTTATATTTAGAAAGAGTTAAGCTTCATATATAACGTAAACAACACAACTTATCTAACATTTAAATCTCCGCAATGAATAATACAGCACGATAAAGTCAAATCAGTACAAGTTACAACAGAACTTCTTTAGCCGTATTTTTTATTATCTCACGCGTTCCGGAGAGGAAAGTTTAAGAGGCTATACAGTCGCGTGTAATAAAGTCAACCAAATCTTCGCGTGATTTATGTATTCACCGCATTGTGAGGTCAACTTTTTTGCTGAGGCGTGACCCAAGACAAATTCCCTCATCAGATTTAATATTACAGCATCCTTTCTGGTGCGACCGGCTATCATTCTTGACCCTCGAATCACAAGAGGTACGGTAACTGACATAAAGCAATATCCTTATCAATTGAGCCTCCAGCGAGGTTCGCGGCACACTTGTGAAGCCGTCATCATCAGCAATAAATGGTTGTCACGGCAGTTCATTGTGTCAGGTATATACATATATATTTCTTTCCCCCTTAGATTACACATTATCTCATTACAAGGCAACACTTAAATCTTCATAAGACGTTTAAGCTAATTACATTTATCCTTATCTTTGAAACGTCTTCCAACTAATTTTTTAATACTTTAATACTCCTCATTAAATGCCAAATATAATCTCAGCATCATTATCGCACGTATTTACTTTCTTCTTGCATATTTCAACAGTATACAAATTCGGATAGAGGAAGATAAAATTATAAACTTTATCATAAATTTCCATAATAATGCAATTTTTCAAGCGTGTCTGTTTTTGAGTATCCAATTCGTGAATGCCTAATTAGGAAGAAAGTAAATACGGCTCTGATAATGAGACGGTACGATTAGTTAAAACTCAGAAACAGAGAAATCTTTCCTGGGAAATTCTACAATCCATT